CCTCGCGCCGCGCATAGCACAGAAACGATCGCTGCGGCGCTTCGCGAGCGAAGACCTCGCGTCGCTGCGCGCCTCCAGGGCCTGCGCGTCGGAGACCGTGGGCTCGCTGCGGCCCGAGGCCGGCGTCGTCGCGGCGTGGCGGAGCGAGGCCGCGGACCTCGAGGCGTCGTCCGGCGCGCCCGAGTTCTGGGACGACGCCGGCGCCGCGCGCCGCGCGCTCGCGCGGTTGACCGCGCTCAACGGCAACGTCGACCGCGTCGAGGCGTGGGACGCGCTCCTCGGCGACGCGGCGGCGGCCGTCGACGCGCTCGGCGGCGTGTCCGACGCCGAGGAGGCGGCCTACTACGGCGAGGTCGCCGCGGAGGCGCTCGCGGAGCTCCGCGCGGCCGCGGCGGCGCACGAGCTCGAGGCGGCGATGACGGGCCCCTACGACGGCTGCGACTGCCGCCTGGAGATCACGGCGGGCGCCGGCGGCCTCGACGCCCAGGAGTGGACGGCCATGGTCGCGCGCATGTACGCGCGCTTCGGCGAGAAGCGGGGGTTCTCCGTCGTCGAGGCGGAGCGGTCCGAGGGCGACCACCCCGGCTGCGTCAAGGGCGTGTCCCTCGAGATCCGGGGCGCGAACGCCTTCGGCCTGTTCCGCGGCGAGAAGGGCGCCCACCGCCTCGTGCGCCAGTCGCCCTTCAACTCCGCGGCGAAGCGGCAGACGTCGTTCGCGTCCGTGGAACCGACCCCCGACCTGCCCGACGACCACCCGGACCTGCCCGCGGACGTCGCCGAGCTGGACCCGGCGGACCTGGAGGTGACGACGGCGCGGGCCGGCGGGGCCGGCGGGCAGAACGTGAACAAGGTCGAGACGGCCGTGCGCATGACGCACGTCCCGACGGGGCTGCGGGTGCGCTGCGCGCGCGAGCGCACGCAGGGCGCGAACAAGGCCATCGCGCTGACCATGCTCCGCGCGAAGCTCGTGGCCGCGATGGCCGAGCAGCGCGCGGCGACGCTCGCGGACATCCGCGGCGACCGCGTCGCCGCGGACTTCGGCGCGTCCGTGCGGTCCTACGTGCTCCACCCCTACAAGCTCGTCAAGGACGACAAGCACGAGACGCCGCACGCGACGGACGTGCTCGACGGCGACCTCGGCCCGTTTCTGGACGCGGAGCTGCGGCGGCGGGCGAGGGGGGAGGAGGCGGGGGATTCGAACGGGTAAAATGCTGGCCGGGGGTAAATGCGGCGGCTGGCCACCTCGCGTCCACGCGTTGCTGGCGACGCTTATCCTGCGCCACCACCCTCGGTAATGGAGGCTGCCAATTTCCCTCCCGTGGAGTAGCCATTTCGCCGGGTCGTATGGGCGCGCGCAGGCCCCTAGAATTTCGCCGCGCGCCGCATGCGTAGCCCGGTGAAAGGACGGCCCGCGGCCCCTCCTGCC